CCCCAAAACCCCAAAACCCCAAAACCCCAAAACCCCAAAACCCCATATCAAATCTGTATTAAATAAAATTAAAAACCAAAGTTATTCAAAGATGAACAAAAATAAGAGGATTAGCCATCACTCACCTGAAGGAAGAGAGGTACATGAAGAGTATGAACACTCTGCTGAGACTCCAGAGCAAGCTGAGGGTGAGGGTTTAGTCATTGATTTTCAGCATGAGCTCTTGGACCATTTCCTCGAACGAGCAGATGCCCTGGGCAGACATCATGATGAGCACACTAGCGAAGCTGTCAATAAAATAGAGGCTTACGAGCGTACTCAAGATGAATATAAATAAAGTCGTTGAGGATAGTAATAACAATCATGAAGAGAGGAGGAAAGCTACAGAGGAAATATTAGCTCACTCTCAAGATTTCAATGCCTATAGCAAAGATTCAGCGGATGAGAAAAGAAACCTGCGACAAGAATTTGATGATCATGAGGACCAGCTCAGGAACCTCAAGGACCAGATTCTAGAAACTGAGCTTGAAAACAAAAATTTGCAAATGATTGCAGAGACAGAGCAGTCTATACAGGATGCTAAGGACAGAGCAGAGGAGGATGCCATAAAAACCGTCAATGATGATCTCAGAGATATGGTTGATAGACTCTCTAGAGATGCAGAGGCAGATATCAGTTACCAAGAGGTCTCTCTTAAGATCCGTAGTGAGATCGAAAGTAATTACAACCAATCTAAAGCTGAAATAAACGAACTCTTCGGTAAAGCTGGGACTGCCAAAGAGCAATTAGAAGAAGATATCAACGAAGTCAAAGAAAGAGCAGCTGCCAGAGATGAGGATAACGAAGACCTCCGTGGAAGAATCGAAGATAATGAAGTTGAAATTGACAGACTCGCTAATTCAATCAAAGCTCTCAACGATGAGATCGATAACATCAAAGGAGACCATGAGGAAGAGATAGCAAGACTGGATAAGGAAAGAGTCGAGAACGAGAATATCATTGCTGATCTTCATAAAACAGCAGAGGATTTAAAGGTCCAGCATTCTAAATACGAGGTCAGCATTTTGAAGATCAACAGCCAGTTGCAATACCTTGATGAAGCCGAGAAAAGTGTTGGAAATGATCTGATTAGAAAGAAGATCGACAAGTTCGACAGGAGTATTAAGGCAACCAATCGTGGAACAGAACAACTCCAGAATTACCTTGATGGAATGAACAGAGATTGGATAGGCAGGATAGAATCAGCTAATAGAGAATTATCCAACTTGATCAGAGAGACTGAGAGCAAGTCTGCATCCGAGAAGCTCAATAAACTACTTAAAGAACTACAAGCAAAGCAGAATGAAATAGAAGACCTCAAAAGAAGAAGAAACCAACTTGAAAGAGACCTTGCTGGAGCTGATCCTGATAGTCTTGATCGAGAAATTTTGAACATGAGAGGAGAACTTGATGAGGTCAACGACAAACTCATTCAGGTGCTCAACTTTAATAATAAGACTGAGATCGCCAGACTCAGATTAGAAATCGAAACTTCTAAGAGAGAACATGAGTCTAAAGGGACCTTCTTCGCTGATCTTCTCATGAAGATTGAAGAGAGAAAACAGCTGCTAGAGGAGCTCCAATATGAAATTAGTGAAAATGAGTCCTTCCTTCATGAATTCGAGGAGACTCTTCAAAGAAGAAAAGATGAAGGAGAAGACCTTGATAGGCAACTAGCAGAGAGAGACGAGGAGGTCAGAAGACTTGAATCCAGACTAGCAGAGATGAACAAACTTAGAGCCCAACAAGAGGTTGAAGCAAGGTACTATGAAGAACAATCTAGACTTCAAGAGGAAGCTAGGCTTGAAGAAGAGGCTAGGTTACAAGAAGAAGCTAGGTTACATAGAGAATCCCTCCTATCCCAAAGAAGAGAAATTCATACTGTAGAAGAGAATGTTTATGTAGCTGATAAGAATGATGAGATCGATGTAATGATTGCCAAGTGCATTAATGTTGCCCAATGCCAAGTTCCCATCAAAAGATTAGGAGGCGGATATTACCAATTCGGTACAAGAAAGATCTACGCTAAGATTTTGAATGGAAAACTAGTCATCAGAGTTGGAGGTGGATACATGGTCATAGACGAGTTCATCGAGACTTATTCAAGCGCTGAGCTCAAGAAGATGGAGCAGAGAAGAAACCGTGGACTTGAAGAAGTCCCTAATCTTGGTGACATGTCTCCTTCTAATAGGTCTTTCGGAAGTCCAAGAAAATTAGGATCTCCTAGCAACAAGACAATGAAGGCTAATAAGAAGAAAGAGGAAGGTAATGGGTTCAGTTTTTCGACTAAGGGTAGTTCAGCAATGAATGGTACTATGAGAACCAAGAATTTCACCCAAGCACAGATGGATAAAATGATGGCATCAGGTGCAGCAAGAGATTTCAGAAAGTAAAGCACAACAGCATTTCAGATACCTCAATAATTTATATATTTTGTGGGGTTTTGGGGTTTTGGGGTTTTGGGGTTTTGGGGTTTTGGGG